TAATATCTACAGTCTGTATTTAGGTTAGGTTTAGGGGATAATTATGGTGTAATATCTACAGTCTGCATTTAGGTTAGATTTAGGGGCTAATTGTGGTGTAATATCTACAGTTTGTATTTAGGTTTAGGGGATAATTAGATTAGGGGATAATTGTGTCTGTATTTGGGTTAGGTTTAGGTGATAATTGTGGTGTAATATCTACAATCTGTATTTAGGGGATTCATGTTTAATAATAACGTCAGAATAAATTGAAAAGCGTGTAATTTAATTGAAGTGCACTTTCTCGTCCTCCTTCTCTCGCATTTATTACGGTAATAGTTATCAGTGTTCTTGCGCCGTCACTCTTATAATCGTTTCGTTGACAACCTCGAAGGAACTTGCTCAACGACGCGCTTATAAAACCGGATCGGTTTTTCTCTTAATCGTAAGGTCGCATAATTATGTAATTATACTTTTTTCCACCCTATCTGCAGTTCAATGCCTGTTACAGTAGCCTCGGCAACATACCAAGCTTCTACATTAAAGCATCAACCGGAGAGATTGATTGACGCAGTGACACTCACGTTCTATCTTTTTAAATAAATAGCGCTAACACCTGGGCGACCTGTCGCGATTTATTTATCAACTTATTACGAATTGTTCCCTCGACATTGTGGAAATCGGATCATGCGATGACTGAGATGATTAGCGCGAATATCACGCGACATTGGCAACTCTTAACTCCTTAAGCATTTATGTCGACTGTACTCGTCATGAAGAGATGGAATTTTTTTTTTTAACGTCGAATTACAAAATATTATTTAATGCTTGTATTATCCTTATCTTTCATACGAAGTGTCATACAAAATTAGAACTGAAATGTTTCCTAAAATAATAATTTCTCGGCGTATGTACATGAGCATCTGAGCCGAAAGGAATTAGAAAAGTAACTAGCCGTTGCAACAATTTAAAGAAGCAATGGAAGGAAGATGACAGAAAATATAATTTCCTTTCGAGTTTCTTGGAATTTGAGAAACATACGCTAGTAGTCGAAGAAATTTAACAGGGTTGAGTTGATTTGCAACGCTGCAGACGCGAAAACAAGATATCCGCCAGGTAAATAAACATAGAAATAACTACACACGATAGGTACTGAATATATGCCTGTATTCAAGGTAAATGTGTTCATACCGTTACCAATACTTCCGGTCTCCGGTGTCATGAACGTAGCAGACCGTGCAATCAACCATGTATCACTTAGTGTGTACATATACTGCTCTACGTACGCAAGAACTTCAATTAAAATGTATCACTAACAATTCTAATTTCGTTGAAAACAATACATCGATACAATAAGAAAATTTCAAAAGTTTCAGATATACGTAGAAACTACTACTTAGCTGCAAGTTGCAAAATTATGAAAATTAAAGTTTTTAGGAGGAAGAAAAAATTATTTACAAAATTTGTTACTATTGCCAAATGTATTGCTAAAAAGAAGGGATATGGAAATTCAAATTAAAACATTCACTTGAAGAAAGTAAAATTAATTTTACTTTTAATTACTTTTCGATTTTACGATTTATAAATCACAAACTGCAAAAAATTTTGAAGCTACTTCTTCTAATTAAGGTTATTTAAAATTATCATATATTGGTTATCATACCATTAAGGTTATCATATCAAGATAAAAGATTATTAGTAACTGTACGGTAAATGTACGAATTATCAAATTAGTAAAAATACAATTATTTAAATGCATTACAAAACTTCCTCTTTTTCAAAAGATTTATTTTTAAAGAATTGTATTTTTAGAAAATTTCGTATGTGATGTTTCTTTATTTTTTAAAAGCTCAATCTGCGAACAATATATTTTTTTTATTTTGCAAGCAGAATGTATCACAAATATATATATCATATATAATAGAAATATCATTTTTACCACTGTCAATTCACTCACATTGCAATAAACCTACTAGCACATATATAGAACAGTCCTCAGCGAAAGAACAAAATTTCTCAATTTTCTTCACGTACAACGTTTTCTACAAGAACTCTTCAATTTTGCTTATTGCTAAGAAAATAAAGTATCGATATTAGTTTATCGATGAACACATCCCTCGACTCAGAGAAACAAACAATTATTCGTTTCAGTTTCGTCCAGGAGTTCGCCTCGCCGCCAGCTGATGGAATCACCTTACTGTTAGAAACGCTTCGCGGTGTTCAGTTGGCCCAAAGTTCGCCACCCTCTTCCGGTCACACAGGTCCGAGAGTTGGTACCAGAAGAGCTGCACTGGACGAATTGGGCTGCGTCGAATGTTTGGCCGCCTGCACCGAACGATGCACCGACGCATCGAGGCTCCTGGTGCAAGCTCAGCCCGGTCTTCTTGCTCTGGCAGTTTGTCTGACTAGTAGCTTGAACCGGTCCCGAGTCCTGGCTCTCCAGGTAACAATCGTCACTTCCGTTCCGAGTACCACGGAGTACTGTTAGTAAAAAAGAAAGAACTCAACTGGAATCGTACGTGAGATATTACGCGTGTCGCTTACGTATCTCATTACCATTTTGTTTGGATATTAACATCGATGTTAACACGCGTTCTCTAACAAAATACTGTAGTCTCGTGCAGTGCAAATATTATTTGTTACTTGTTTTCAAAGTTCTTTCTTTCTTTTTTTTTTTTTTGTCGTTTCGTTCTTTTCATTTTACATTATTCGCCAAAAAATAATTGAAACAAATAGAAATTAGGATTGCACAAATGTGGGAATCACATACGTTTGTTGCGTTATTAAAATTTAATTGAGACCACTTTAAGCAGATTTTTCGTAAGACGCAAATATTGTCTTATTTTTTATCAAATTAGAGTTGCAGAAGTTATACGTTTTTCAAGCTATTAAAATTTCGTTAGAAAATAAGAATGTTCTCATTGGTCATTAATCATTCAGTTTTTACAAAATTCTAATTTTCAAATTTATTTTTCTCAGAACAGTGTTAAGTTTTAAGATGTTGCAAGATGTCTTTTTTTCTTGGCAAGTAGATAAATTTTTTATCTCCATGTCAGGAGGAAAGCAGCAAAGGAGGAAAACATCATGTTCAGT